GACGAAATGAGAGATGAAGCCTGGAGCAAAGGTCTGGAGAGGTAGAACAAGAGGAATAGATGGAGAGGAGAAGATCTCTTTAGATGTGGAAAGCAAGACATGTGTCTCAAAAGAGCCAGAATAAATAAATGCTTCTTGTGCTGCAGCCAAAGAGCTGGGTGAGGACCGCTTGGGGCCAGCTGCTGACAAAATACTCCAAGTCCTGCCTGGCAATCTGGGAAGGCAAAGCCTCTGCCAACCTGAAATTGATGACTCTTCTAGAGAAATGTGCAGTGTCTACATCAAGGGCCTGTCGTGACAGCATCAAGGCCCCTCAGCAAGGCGTTCCCACTGGGCTAGAGCCCATGACCAGGCAGCAGTGAGAACGTGGCCCACAGTCCCTCTGTCTGAGGCAACTTGGTTTCCATATCTACAAGCCCCATAGGAAGACAGATGCTGAGGTGTGATAAATCACACTCTTTTTTTTTCCCTCAATTTCACACCTTTAGAATTCAACATCATCAAAAGGCAATTCCCCTATTGATTCCATTTTTCTTCCACTGATAGCGAAAGAGTCTCATTGCTCAGATATAAAGGACGATTCCAGAGTGACAAATAGCTACAGAGTAGAGAAAACTTGAATTTCCATCCCAAAGAGAAAAAGTAATCAAGGGCTCTTCAAAATGGGAATGGAAAAGAAAGGGAATAGAACACATCCCCCGCCTACTGAGTTGCAGCAGTGATTTTTTATACACTAGCTCACCCCATCTGCTCAGTAGCTCTGTGAGGTGAGTTTATGATTTTTATTTCACAGGTAGGGAAACTGAGGCACAAGGAGTTTGGGCCACTTCTAGTGCCACTCAGATGCTGGCTGATAGAGCTGGGGTTTACATCCAGAATCTGCCTCATTTGGAAGAATTTGCTGGTCCCACCCCGTTATGTCACTTCAGAATGGCAGTTTTAAGGGGAATGAATGTGGATGAGAGATCAGAATCTGAGAAGCACCCAAGCTTAGAGTTGTAAGACTTGACTCCTGGACTTTCTTGATCATCTGTGACCTTGGACAAATCATGTGGTTGAAGTGGGCACCTGTGTTACCTCTAAAATGAAAGGATGGGTTGGATTATCCACAACTCTATGCTTCCCATCCAAGCCAGCAAATAGAATCACCATTAAATGAATAAAGTTTTACAGGTGGCATTTTATTTCATTTGATGTTGGAATGTCTCTTTGCAGGTGTCATAAAAACACAACACAGCCTGGATTGTGAGTTTGCAACTGAGCCCATCGCTTCAGTGGTCTGGCTGTTATAGTTTCCTCTGATCCAACTCATGTAACAAATGTTTGTTCAAGGTTTGTTCCACCCTGCACCTGACAGTGAGTGTGTTAGTCAGTACTCCATCACTGTGACAAAATCCCTGAAACAACAAACTTAAAAAGAGGAAAGGTTTATTTGAGTTCATGGTTTCAGAGGTTTCAGTGCATGATTGCTTGGGCCTGTGATGGCACACTATGTCATGGCAGGAGCACGTGGTGGAGGAGACTATTTTAAGACTAAAATTGTAGCTTCTGGCCAGGCATATTCTCTTAGCCACCTGGTGAGTGTGGCTCAGCCCACCTTGGTACTCCCCTAACTCATCTTTTCTCCATCTTCAACTGAGTTCTTTGACTTTTCTCAGGAAGTCCTTTGAGAAACTCTTAGCCTCAGACATGAAGAGATGTCACAAAACCCAAAGCCTCCTGTGTTCACATAAATTTGAGGAACACCATATAAAACCAGGATAAGCAAGTCTTCACTGGGGCATGGGGCAGGGCTCCTCCAAGGCTTGATAAGCTGACGCCAAGAGGACTCTCCAAGGGGAAAGAGCAGCCTGGACCAGAGAATCTTTTCATCTTTTCAAGGAGCACCTAGAAAAATGAGGATGCTAATGATTTTCCTTTAGGGAGGAACAGACCCAGGACTTAAAATTTTTTATTAAGCAAAGGCTGAGCTGTAATTATAAATATGAAAGCATTAAAGAGGCCACTGCCGGACCCAGAGTTGGTGTGTTCGTTAAATGTTAGCAGAAAGGGGAGCCGATCTGTTTGTAATGAGCACAGTCTTTGGCTAGCAATGACCCCACAGGCCTCATTACCTCTCTTTGGCTGGAGAGAAAGCATTTGGGGTCAGATGACCTCTAACCCTCGGGGAGCACATTTTCTGAAAAGGCGCTCACAGCTTTTAGCCAAATGTCCCTTTTCTTCACAGAGACACTCGGGGAAGATGAATCATTTGGCGAGGATGGATTCCCACCCCTCTTCTAAGTACACATGCTGGTCAACAGAGGTTCATTCAGTGAGTCCTTTGAGAATCCATCCTTGTCCGAATGACTGGCTGGTGTGTTTCATTTCGAACCCGCAGGCTCCTGCAAACCGCCAGCAGCCTCTTGCAGTATTTCTATGAGCTGCTATTTTTTTTAAAGTTGGAGAAATGTTGCTTTTCTTCCCCAATTGTAGAACAGGGCAGGAATATTCCAACAAAGAAGATCATGTTTGTGAAAACAGTGAGTTATCTTTGTCATTTTCTCATATAAAAATAAAAATAATCTTTAAAATGCCAACCAAATAGCGTGTGCAATGATTATAGAAGGTTATGTGTATCTTTTCAAAAATCAGTTACTTGGAAAAGGAAAAAAAAATCTCTTTTTTTCCTCTGTTGTTCTATTTCCACCCTTTAAAGAACCCTTAATATTTTTCTTGGTATAAAATGAATATATTCTTTCTATAAAACTTTGGAAAATACAAAATGACGTATGAAAAAAATCAAAATAATAGTCTCATCTCCCAGGGAAAACCCACTATGATTTATTCATGTACTCCATATGTATTTCTTTCATTTTTTAATATTTCTCTCAATATATTTATATATATATATATATATATATATATATATATATATCTCACACTGGGAGGAAATATATTTACAAAGGAATTGTTCTTCACCAAATTGGGAAGGCAGCTGATACAGTTTTTAAGACTGCCTTTTCTCACTTAGCACTGTATCATAAGCACTTTCCGAGGGCTGAAGTTTCCAACTCCAAATAGCCTAAGGTGTTGGCTCACAGACTGAAGAATTTATAAGCGGCTGTCAAACATGACTAGAGATGGCTGTGGCATTAATGTCAATGATTCTTCTTGAAAGCGATTAAACTTGGCAGTGCTATCGCTACCCAGTGTGTTTATACCAGCTCTCATAATTGTTTTCTAAAGCCATAAATTTCTCCAGTTAATTATAAACAAATTGCTCTGCTTAATTAATGGGCATCACTTAGGAGTATTATCTAATATGCATATGAATGAATCTGTGACATCTTCACGCGAGCTGGATTTAACCATGTTGGGATGGTGGCTCTGGGAGAGAAGCCAATGTCCCCGAATGTGGGTCTGGAGTGGACTCCAAGAAGCCTCAGGTCCAGAATCTGCTGTAGCGAGAGTGTGCCTTGTTCATTGCTGCCCTTGCCAGGCCTTCAGGGTACAAGTCATCTTGGGCCGTCCCAGCAGTACACCAGGAGGCATGGAGGAGTGAGTGACAGTGAGCGAGCACCACCTCAATTTCCCAACTGGAGCCTCTCTCTTCAGCACTGCTTTCTCACCTATGTCACCCCGAGTGGTTCTTCCCCCACCCACCTCACCCTGTAGCTGGTACAGCACTGTGGCAATGAGCTGGGCGTGGGGCACAGCTACCAGATGTGAGATCATGGGCAAGTTACCACTGAAGAGCCAGTGCCTCCGCTTGGCCATTTGTAAAATGGGGATCATCGCTGTAACTACCTTAAATCAGTTAAGATGGGCCCCGTAAACATAACCATGTTCTATGACCTTAACTCTTATTGGGCATTGTCATCCCCCCAATTTTTAGAAGAGGAAGCTAAGATTCTATGTCCGGCACCAGGACTAGAGTCAAGCAAGTGAGACCCTTCAGGAACAAAATTTAACATATCTCTCTCTG